AAAAATGTTTCAATTCCATGGTGAGCACTGACCTCGCAGCTGGAGAAGCTGTTTTGAAGTCACAGAGCCTAAACAGCATGAGGTGGGGTTGAAATGGACACACTTGCACCCGAAGCATTAATTGGTTTAATAACTAATTGGCATAAAATTCGTCTCTGTCCCATTGTGGTCTTGCACCTTCTTCCAACCAATTCTTCTGATAATGTTACTGTTCAAGCAAATAACTATTTCAAGGAAACGATTCAGTGGAATAAAACGAAATTGCCTGATCTTCATTCTTGCAGTTTGTGAGATCCTCCACAAATTTCACTGAGAACTGTAATATTAATACGAAGAACAATCCTTGCCTTTAATATAGTGCCTTATTGTGTCTTCGAGACATCTCAAAGCGCTTCACAGAATATACTGTCAAATGAATTTACTGTATATGTTGTGGGCGAAATGCGGCAGCCAATTGCGCACGGCAGCGTCCCACAAACAGTCGTGGATTGAGTGACCACATTTTTAAAAAAATGTATTACCCCCGGAAAAATGATCCACCAATCGACTAATAACCGGATTTCTACTTACTGTATATATAAGTAGCATATAAATATATTCTGTGTATATAAATATATATACCGTACATATAAGTCGTATATAAATTTATATGCTGTATATATAAGTTCTACAGCAATGCACTGAAATCACAGCTATTCAAGTTAGAGGGTGATACTTCATGCAATAAGTGATGATCTGTTTCACTGAAATAGAAGCAACAAAACAGCACCAGTTTGCACTTCGAATACCAACTACAGTAATCTCCTGATAACTCGACCCTGATGTAGCGTGTCACTATCACTTAAGTCAACTACCTCTCAATATCCCGGCTGCATTTATTTATGTATTTATACATATGCCTAACTCTGCACACTGGATAACTCACCACTGAGTCTTTTTCCCTTGGAGTGATGAGTTATCAGGAATGTACTATATATTAAATCTGTACAGTACATTAATTGCAAAAGTATTCTAGTTAAGGATTTCCCCCCACCCCACCCCGGGTGTGATAATTACCCAAATTTTACTAATATTGACACTGCTGGTTGTATATCACACTTACCACTAGCTATCTTATATTTATGTCCTTTAATTTATCGGTCTCACCATAATGTATACTTTCATAATCTTGAACACCTCTATCAGGTTGACCCTGTCAGTCCTCTTAACTCTAGAGAAAAGAGCTGTAACCCACCCGATCTTTCTTGACAGCTGTATCAACTCACATCCGGTAACATCCTTGTAAATCTATGTGTGGAGTCCTGTAGAGTATTGGTTAGAGCAGTCGCCTCGCAAGCGAGAGGACATGGGGTCAATTCCCAATGCAGGGTGAAACGGTAGGCAAGTTTCCTTCCTCCACACGTCTCTGCTTACCCAGCAGTAAGTAGGAACCCGGTTATTAAATAATTTAAAAAATATATTTAAATCAAATTTGGTCCCTCAATCAACAACGGTTTGTGGGACACTTCTGTGCACAATTGTCCGCGTTTCGCTCACAATATATACAGTCAATTCTCTTCTGTGAAGCACTTTGAGACATCTGAACAACGTGTAATGTGCTTTATCAAGTGTAAGGATTATTATTATTATTGTACTTTCTAATGCTATATCCTTCAAATAATGTGGCGATCAGAATTGTACTCAGTACTGTGAATGGATTTAGGATTACTTCCCTACTTTTACACTTTATTCCCCTGGACACAAAGCCAAGGACTCTGTTAGCACTATTAATGTCTTTGTCCACCTGTGCTACTACTTTCAGAGCTCTTAAATCTGGCTCCCCAAATCCCTTTACTCCTCTGCCGTTCCCAGGTTATAATATTGCTGATTTTGCCCATTTAATTTGCAGATTAGATGCAAACCGAAGATTCGTCATGAAAACTTTTCAATTCATTTATTTTTTTAAAAATCTATCTGCCAAAAGCGATGGCGATTGAAAACGAATTAACCAGCACTATATATAATCCATAGTGTGTGCGATTATTGATAAACACGTTGTATTATTATTCCGCATGCCGCAATCAGCTGCAACACTATTATGCAACACTATTGAGAAGAAACAGACAGGTCCAAAATGGAATAATAATAATAACAATGAATAATATTCCTTGCATTTGATACAGCGCTTTTCACGTCGGGAGGACATCCCAAAGCGCTTCACAGAACACACTGTAAAGTGAATTGACTGTATATTTGTGGGCGAACGTGGCAGCCAATTGCGCACAGCAATGTCCCACAAACAGTCATAGATTGAAAATGACTAATTTATTATTGTTTTTGGTTTTGGAGGGATTATTATTAGGCTCTGTGTGGAGTAAGGAAACTTGCCCAAGGTTTCGCCCTCTGCCTGGAATTGAACTCAGGTCTCTCACTTACAAAGCGAGTGCTCTAACCACTGAGCTACAGGACTCCACAGGAATATAATATAGGAATATAATAATCATAAATAATAATAATCCTTGCATTTGACACAACGCCTTATCAAGTCTTTGAGACGTCCCAAAGCGCTTCGCGGGATGTACCGTAAAGTGAATCGACTGTATATTTTGTGGGCAAAACAGAAAAAGACACTGGCGCTGATGAGCTGACTCTCTGCCATATTTTGTTCAATTTCAGCTGAATTTTGTTGTCAAAGCAGAGAGCAGCCAATTCATTCTGTGCATTGGCTTCGGGCAGGAGAGACGTGTGACTGACGTTAGTATTAACACACCACGTCATGGTTTCCCCACAAAGTGACTAAAAATGTGTTTTATACAAAGCCACTAACATTTACTGGTTTATTTTTTTTTTATTTGAGTGTTTCCCCACTCCTCCCCCCAACCTCACACCCTCACACACACCCCACACTCACACACACACACAGATCTCTGAAAGCCAAACTATTTTAAAAACTCAGATCAGTATCTTTAATATTAAAGCAAAATCTCTCCATTGAAAAAAAATCCTCTGAGTAAATAATAACTAACAATAATCCTTGCATTTGATATAAGCGCTTTTCACGTCTTCTCGACGTCTCAAAGCCCTTCACAGAATATGCTGTAAAGTGAATGAATCGACCGTGTATTTGTGGGCGAACGCGGCCGCCAATTGTGCACATCAGCGATGTCCCGCAGACAGCCGTGGATTGAAAATGTCCCATTTATTATTGTTTTTTTTTGAGGGATTACCCCGTAAACCCTGTAAACCCAGTGAACCCAGAGGTAAGAAATCAGAGACCAAACCAGTGCAAAAGGGCAGCAATGTGTTGCCCCCCCACCCCCCTCCCCAACTGAGGGGTTGCACTCCAACATTAATATGCATATTTTTTATATGATTATTATTTACTCTTTCAGAAGCTGATGTTTATTTCAAGCCTCTCCTCCTTTGCGGGAGTTTGGATAAGGACCAAAATGTGGGAGTCCTCTTGATCACCCCCCCCCCCCCCCCCCACCCCTTGGCTCTTTTAAGGGGCTATCAAACCAGGACAAGTTACCAGCCATTCTTTGCATCTCTCCATCATCCCCCACCCCACACCCCCCCCCCAAAAAAAAAGGTCTGCAGGGCTTTGCAACCCGACCTACAGACTGAGCCCCTCACTGAGCCCCTCACTGAGCCCCTCTCTGAGCCCCTCACTGAGCCCCTCTCTGAGCCCCTCTCTGAGCCCCTCTCTGAGCCCTCACTGAGCCCCTCTCTGAGCCCCTCTCTGAGCCCCTCTCTGAGCCCCTCACTGAGCCCCTCTCTGAGCCCCTCTCTGAGCCCCTCTCTGAGCCCCTCACTGAGCCCTCACTGAGCCCCTCTCTGAGCCCCTCACTGAGCCCCTCACTGAGCCCTCTCTGAGCCCCTCACTGAGCCCCTCACTGAGCCCCTCTCTGAGCCCCTCACTGAGCCCCTCACTGAGCCCCTCTCTGAGCCCCTCACTGAGCCCCTCACTGAGCCCCTCACTGAGCCTCACTGAGCCCCTCACTGAGCCCTCTCTGAGCCCTCACTGAGCCCCTCACTGAGCCCCTCTCTGAGCCCCTCACTGAGCCCCTCTCTGAGCCCCTCACTGAGCCCCTCACTGAGCCCCTCCGGTCACTCCGCGCACACAGTGCACATTTTCCACTGTGGAGTGGAAATTCTCACCTTCCTCTGCGATGCGCCTTTAACACATCGACACAGTCACAGACGGAGGGATTCCCTGTTCTACTGACGTCACTGACTCGGGAAACCCACACCTGCGTCATATGACGCACATACCCATTTTAGGCCATTCGCTGCTGCGTCAATGGACTCCACCATCTCCCCCCCACCATCTCCGCCCCCACCCCCACCCCCCAGCACCCCCCTACCATCTCCCCCCACCCCCCACCATCTCCCCCCCACCATCTCCCCCCCCCCACCCATCTCCCCCCCATCTCCCCCCCACCCCCCACCATCTCCCCCCCACCATCTCCCCCCCACCCCACCATCTCCCCCCACCCCCCCCCACCATCTCCCCCCACCCCCACCATCTCCCCCCCCACCATCTCCCCCCCACCCCCCACCATCCCCCCCCACCCCCCCCCACCTCTCCCCACCCCCACCATCTCCCCCCCACCCCCACCATCTCCCCACCCCCCCCCACCATCTCCCCCCACCCCACCATCTCCCCCCACCCACCCCCACCCCCCCCCCCTACCTCCCCCCCCACCCCCACCATCTCCCCCCCCACTCTCCCCCCCACCCCCCTCTCCCCCCCCCCACCATCTCCCCCCCACCCACCCCCCCACCCCCCACCCCTCTCCCCCCCCACCACCTCTCCCCCCCACCATCTCCCCC